TAGAAAATCCCATCAAACCTTCAAAATAAGCTACTGGAATTTATTAGGAGAGTTTAGCAAGGTTGTAGAATACAAGGTTAATAAATAAAAATCAATTATATTTCTACATACTCACAATGAATAACTAGAAGTTGAAGTTTAAAACCAAAAAATTGCCCATGTATCAAAATTTGAAATACTTAGGGATAAATTTAACAAAAGATATGAAAGAGCTGTGCATTAAAAACAAAAAACAAATCACTGTTCAAAGAGATTAAAGATCTGGGTTCCAGTGAAGATGGCAGTGTAGGTAAATGTGATACTAAAATCCTCCCACAACTACATCAAAATTATAACTAAACTACAGAAAACTCATCATTCAGAACTCCCTGAAATTTAGCTAAACAGAACTCCTATAAGTAAGGATATAAAGAAGAAGCCACACTGGTAGGAGAGGTGGAGACACCAATGTGCTGGTCCTCTACCCACATGTGGCAGATAAAAATCAGGAGGTATATCTCTTTGTAATTATTAAGTACTCATCAATTAAATGCAATGAATGCAATGAGGGATTATGGAGTGGATCCTGTACCAGAAAAAGGAGATTAGTAGGGAAATAGGAAAAATTCAAATAAGGTGTATAGATAGTTTACTAATATTATACCAATGCTAATTTCCAAGTTTCAGTACTTATACAATATATTAATAATAAGGGAAGCTAGATGAAAGGTATATGTGTATTCTCTACTACACATTTGCAACTTTTTTGTAAGTGCAAAATTATTTCAAAACATTTACAAAACTGAAGGCATTTCCAAACAAACAAAAGCTCAGAGAATTTGTCATCAGCAGACCTGCATTACAAGAAATATGTTAAAGACTATTCTTTAAGTTGAAGGAAAATAATACCAGATGGAATCCCAGAGCTACACAAAGGGATGAAGAATTCTGAAAATGTAAATGTATGGGTGACTATAAAAGACAAATATACACTTTTTCAATTTCTTTATAACGAGAGGTGTGGTACAAGAAATTCGTGCACAGGTGGGGGTCTCTAGACCTGGCAGGCGATCAGGGCCTATTAGAGTTGTCTCGGCCAGTCCTGATTGGGGCCAGGCCTGCTGGGGCTGAGGGCCTGCCAGCCGGGGCCTGCAGGACAGGGGGAGGGACCATGGGAGGTTTGCCGCCTGTGGGGGGTTGGCTATGGAAGTACACTGACCACCTGCATTGAATGTCTGCCCCCTGGTGTTCAGTGCATGTCATAGTGACTAGTTGACCGGTCTTTCTGATCATTCCAGTCATTGGTTGTAATAGTCACTTAGGCTTTTATATATATAGACTGACTTTTCAAAGCAAAAATAATAATGTATTATGAGGTTTATAACACAAAAGTAAAGTATATGGCAATAGCACAAAGGAAAAGAGTGGAAGTAGAAATATAATGTTGCAAGGTGTTTATATTTTACTTGAAGTAGGAAATACTTAAAGGTAAATGTGGTAAGTTAAAGATGCATTGTAAACCCTAGATTCTAGGGGCTGGACAAAAACGAAAAACACTTTTAAAAGAAGTATAACTTAGAAGCTTAAAGAGAAGATAAAACAAAACACTAAAAATATTCAATTAATCCAAACATATAGTATAAATAGAAAAGAAATAACAAGTTGGCATACTTGAATCCAACCATATTGGTGATTACATTAATTCGAATGGACTAAACACACCAATTAAAGGGCAAGGATTGTTAACCAGGATAAAATACCACACCCAATAATACACTGTCAAAAAGAAGCACTCTTTAAAAAATGTAGACAGGTTAACCGTAAAAGACTGGTAAAAAGATATACCATGAAAATTCTAAGCCAAAGAAAGCCAGAGGTGCTATATTAATATTGAGTAGACTTCAGGACAAGGAAAGTTACCTTATAAAAGAGTCAAGTCATCAAACTAAGAACAGAATTTTAAAATATGTAAAGCAAAAACTGACATAACTAAAATGAGGAGACAGTCCACAATAGAGTTGGAAATTCCAACATACTCTCATTGACTGACAGAACAAGTAGGCAATAAGTAAGTAAGGGACACGTGAACAGTACCAAGTACCAATTTGACCTAATTGACATTTGTAGGATGATATCCCAACAACTCCAGAGTACATTTTATTTTTAAATTCACATGAAACATTCACCAATATAGACAATATATGGGTCATAAGACAACTTTCAATCAAGTTAAAATGAGCAAGGTAATACCAAATACACACTCTTATGTCAACAATTAAATTAGAAATCAATAACAAAAGATATTGGTAAAATTCCAAATTATTTAAAAGTTAAACAACACATTTCTAAATAACCCAGGGATCAAATAAGTCTTAAGGGAAATTATATAACATTTTAAACTTAATGGTAATGAAAATGTAACATACAAAGATGTAATAAGCAGTGCTTAGAGGAAAACTTATTGCTTTAATGTTTAAAATCAATGAACTTAGGTTCCTCTTTAAAATAGCGTTTTATTTTAACTTTAAACAGCAAAGAAATAAAATTTAAAAATAATAATAATAATAAATAGATTTTTATTTTAAAAAGAAGCAATGAGTAAACCCAAAAGAAGTAGAGAGAAATAATAAAAATTAGAAATCAATGATATAGAAAATGGACAAACAAGAGAGAAAATAATAAAATCATAAATTGGTTCTTTGAAAAGAGCAACAATATTAATAAGCCTTTAGCTAGACTGATCATAAAAAAAAAAACCCACAAATTACCAATCTCAGCAATGAAATAGGGGAAGATCACTACATATCTCATAGATGTTAAAAAATAATAAGGAAATACTATTTTTTAAAATGTTATGTCAATTGATTTGACAATTTAGATAAAATAGACTAGTCCCTTGAAAGAAAAATTACCTATATGTATTTTTAGAAATAAAAATAAAATATTCCAGAAAGTTCCTTGCAAAATACCTCCAATAGTGAATTCCATCAAACATATAAGAAAGAAATGATACTAGTATTATATAAGACCTTCAAAAAACAGAAGAAACATTTGCCAAATCACTTAATGAAGATTGCCTGATACCAAACCAAACAAAGACATTAAATACCAGCGTTTCTCATGAAGAAAGACACAGAAAATCCTAACAAAATATAACAGTATATAAAAAGAATAATATATTAGGGCCAAGTAGGCCATATATCAGGTTAGTTTAACATTTAAAAAATTAATCAGTGTGATTCATCATATTACCAAAATAAAGAAAAAAACCATATCATCTTCATAGATACATAAAGGCACTTGACAAAATTAAGCACCCATTCATGATGAAAACTTTCTGTAAACTATAGAAGGTATCATCATCAAGTTAACAAAGGTCATCTGTGAACAACTTCTAGTTAACATTAACACCATATGTAACAGTGAAAGGCTGTATGCTTCCCCCAAAGACTGGGAACAAGGCAAGGATGTCCACTCCAATAACTTCTGTTCAACATTGTATAAAGGTCCTAGCCCAGGACAGTTTAACAAGAAAAAATAAATAAAAGGCATGTAGATTACAAAGGAAGAAATAACATTCATTCACAGATGAATTAATTGTATACATAGAAAATCCTAATCTACAAAAAGGGATTTCTAGAATTAATAAGGGAATCAAGCAAGGCCATATAATATAAATTCAAAATTAAAAAGCCAATTGGATGTTTTTAACTAGCAACAAACAATTGAAAAATAAAATTCAAAAATATCATTTTCAATAACATAAAAAATAAAACTTGTAGGGAAAACTATAAAACATTGCTGAGATAAGTTAAGGAAGATATAAATAAAGAAAGGAGGAGTGGGAAGACAGTAGCCAAAGAACTTGTATGCATATATGTATAATCCATGGACAGACAATAGATTGGTGAAGGCCTGGGGAGGGAGTGGGAAGAAGGTACAGGGGGTCAATGGGTTTGGCTGTTGGGCTCACTGGATAGAGTGTCAACCTGCAGACTGAAGGGTTCTAGGTTCAATTCTGGTCAAGGGCACATACCCAGGTTTCAGGCTTGACCCCCAGGAGGGGCATGCAGGAGGCAGCAGAACAATGATTCTCTCTCATCATTGATGTTTCTATCTCTTTCACCCTCTCCCTTCCTCTCTAAAATTAATAAAGGTATATTTAAATTTTAAAAAAAATAAAAAGCCATGTATTCAACCACAGTATGATTGTTAATATGTCCACTGTCTCTAAACTGAGCTATAGATTCAAAGTCCTAGCAGACTTCTTTGTAGAAATGGGACAAACTGATTATAAAACTGATCCAGAGATGCAAAAGACCAAAAGTAGCCAAACAATTCTGAAGATAAACCAAGTGGGAAGACTGGCACTACCTGATAAGATTGACAATAAAGCCATGGCTTTCTTAGCTAAGAGTAAACACACAGATGAATGGAACAAAGTGGAGTCCATAAACGGACCAAAACATATATGGCCAATTGGTTTTTAACTAAATATTTCATACTCAAACATACCGTTTCAATATGGAATGGGCGATTTGAAAACTGATTCTGGAACAAATTGACACTTAAAAGCCTCTCCCCACCCCCCCGCCCCTCAGTTTGTCAGACCTACTCCCTGGCCTTGAAGCGGAGCCTGACCTCCCACATTTCACACCCTGGGACCACACCTCCAGGATTCACTCACAGTCCCAGTCCTCTTACGGGCTCAGCCATCTGCTCCGGCTCTGTTGCTCTGGCTCCCTGGCTCCCCAAACCCTGACCCCCTGATGCAGCTTCAAATATCAGTATCAGTACCGTCTTCTCATGTCAGGACTTCTTCAGTTTACCTACCTGTCACCCTACCTGTTCAACTCTGCAATCTGCCGTGGTCGCTGCCAGTGCCTCCTGTGCACTGTTGGAAACTCCCCTGGCCGGGCTCAGCTCCCTGGGGACCGCTGGCCCAGCTCCCAGCACACAGGACCCAGGACACGGTTGCAACCACAGTGTGATTCAAGGCCACGGGACCGAGTGCCATCTACCTGAGCAGTAAAGAGCTGGAACTCGTCAGGCAGAATCCAAGAGCGAGGGTAGAAGTTGTACTCCTCAGGAAAGAGATTCTGCATAATTCTCACTGCTCTGCTCAGAGTAATTTTACGCACCATCTCCGTCATGCCTGGGGAGGAGAGAAGCTGTGAGGTTTTAACAGCAGGGGGCCACTAGCTATAAAACAGCCATTGTTTGGGACTTTTACAACCACCCACCTGACATAGTCACTTCTCAGACTGGATAAAAAAGGTCTGAGTTGTTCCCCACAGCGGTGACTCATTAATTTGTTAAGACCTACCAAATTAATGGAAGACCTAAGGTGATAGGTGGATTGTTTTCCTTACAAAAATGAAACATCAATTCAAAGGAACGAGTTTCCCCCTAGCTTATTACTCCATTCTTTGTCAGCCCCTAGATAATGAATAAAGAGACGAAGTTATATCTTATACTTAAAACTTAATATCTTTTTAAAATTTGGGAACACAATACCTATTTTTGGGATCCCTTCCATCTTATACCCTAGAGAATATTATCTAGTAGACTGTGCTTAAATCATGAGAAGCTTAATTAAATTGTTTGTTTTAATCTTTCATGAGTATCAAATGTATAAAATAAAAGTATATATACCTTTCAGCATAAAATCTATCTCCCTGAAATAAGACAGGGACTGGAGAAGTATCATAGCATAATTATAGTGTAAGGGGAAAATGGAATCCATAGGAGTTCTTCAGTTCTAAGTATTGATGCAGACATTGACCAGATCTCATTAATTTATCCAGAGGGAACTGAAATATCTCACTTATAAAACATTTGGACTTTTATTTTCTTCACATCTTGAGTAACACTGACAAGGGAAGTGAGAGTTTACCCTAGCAAATTTTAAGCAAATTATTTTATATTTTGGCATGCTTATTTCTCAAAGCAAATATTGCCGCTAAAAACGACCTTCACACCCTAGCCTGTTTAGCTCAGTGGATAGAGTGTCGGCCCAAAGGGTCCTGGGCTCGATTCCTGTCAAGGATACATACCTCAGTTGCAGGCTTGATCCTGGCTTTGGTGGGACACATGCTGGAGGCAACCAATCGATGTGTCTCTCTTACATTGATGTTTCTCTCCCCTTCCCTTCCCTTCTCTCTAAAAATCAATGGGAAAATACCCTCGGGTGAGGATTAACAGCAACAACAAAAAAAAATGGTCTTCACCCCGAGAGAGCTACACTAGAAAATTGCTGAGCGAAGTTTTTTGGGTTTTTTTTTAATCCTTGACTGGAATTGAACACGTGACCCTTCAGTCCACAGGCCAACACTCTATCCACTGAGCTAAATCAGCTAGAGCTGAGCGAAGTTATTTTTATTAATAGAAAGTACCAAGCTTCATGTTAGCTCAGCATGTCCGAATTATCACACCTTACAAGAGTGCACAATCAGACTGAACGAAGTTTCTCTAAAGGGTAAACACTTGAAATGAAGGTTTTAATAACCTACTTCTTGCTTCCCATAGCATATTAAAAAGAGCGATAAACCTAAAAATTGCAGCTTCAACATGTCAATGCCCAGGTTCTTAGTTCTTGTTTAGAAGGATATAGAGAAGGATTAAGCGAGAAATAAAGGGGCTTAAAAAGTCCTAATAAACTGGGCTCTAATGTGGACTCTTCTATATAAAATAAAGTAAACTCACTGAGGACACTGTCCTGAGCTTCCCAAGAAATATTGCATGAGTTTGGAAAATCAAAGCGATTCCTCTTTATTCCCCTATGAAATTTTGAGTGAAGCACTGGAGCTGAACACAGGGGACACAAAGACAAATTGTCCATTTTCTTGGGAACTTCCCTCGGGTCTGACCAAGGTCTCCGTCAGGATTAAACTACACCCTCGGGACAAACTGCGGTGCAGCACCTTACACCACACAGATGCTGCCTCCTGACCAGAATGTGGTGGTATGTGCCGCATCAGGGCGCTGTAACCGAGAAAGGCTCAGAGACCCCTCAGCAGGTCAGAAGGACACACACAACGTAGACAGAAGTGCTCTGAGAACAGGAGTGCCATTTGAATGTTCCAACAAAGTTTTATGAAAATCGAGGTCCAGCAAGTGGAGCAAATACTCCTTTTCAATCTGCTGTGACTCCTGTGCTGCACACTGGAGGTCCCTACACCAGCTAAGGATCTGTTTTCGAGTTTACCTTTGTGTCTGTCTCCATACAGTCCTCTATTGAAAACAGTCAACTTCAGAAGCAGTCCTGCCCACCAATGGCAACTTTTCCCAGACCCTGCCAGCCTGCTGGCTGTACAGCTCAGCCCTAACCCCACTGGTACACCTGTCTCCAGCAGGCACCTGTGTAGACCTCCCTCAGTCCACTGACCACCAAAGCCTTTGTTCCGCTACCATATCTTGGCTGTGATGCCACCCAGTGCTTCCAGGAAGAAGGTCTCCAACCTTCACTTGAGCCCATGAGGAAGCTGCTGTATCCCTACCCTCGGGCAGTAGCAGAGAAACAGATGTGAGGCGGGCCATCTTCTCTCAATAAGATGCTGGCAAGAGTAGCCGGCCTTCTAGCTGAGCCAGAGCCCATGTTCCCAGAGTACATGTGTGAATAGGGAGGTCACTGCCAGAATCTGCCTGACCCTGTCTGTGACCTCTGCCTAGGCTTTGGGACCCATTCTGACCTGAGGTGGAGCCTAGATCTAACCATCAGTTCCCAAGACTAGGAACAAGGCACTGTTTGACCCCAGCTTTGTAGTCCAATTAAATAAGGAGGAGTTCAACTGCTTTTCTGGGGTTCCATTGCTTTGTCCCTAAATTTTGGAAACCTGTCTTTTGTTCCTGGTACCTGAGCGACGTCTTCGCCTTGTTCTCTCCAATGTTCTTCTGGAGTCCTCCTGTCTGTGACTTCAGGGCTACTGACATGTTCTTTTGAGGCTGACTGGGTACCTGGGTTTCTCATCAGGTCTATCCCAAGATGTCCTCTTTCCTCCATTCCCATCCCCACTGATAAGTTCACCTTCTTTGCTTGGATGCTGCAGCAGTCTCTTAGCAATCTCTGCATTTCCTCTCTTAGCTTCCACCCACCTCCAATGCACCCCTTGGGATGATCTTTCTGAAATCCAAACTGGTCCGTGTCACTCTGTGGCTTAAAATTCCTCAGCGGCTTCCCATGACCTTTGTCCCTGCCTAGCATCACTCACTGCCCCTATTACATGTGACCCTTTCTAACCACCATGGGCCACTTCCCCTGGCTGAGTGAGCAGTGAGTTCTAAGCAGTCTGTGTCTTTGTACCAGCTCTGCTCCCTTGCTTTACATGAGGTTCAGGCCCATCCATCCCTGTAGGCTCAGCTCACATGCCAATCCTCCTCTCCCGGATCTCTCACCTCACCTATCCCAAGCGAATTTGGATGAGGGCAGGTGTCCTCGCTCCAAACTCCCACAGTATCCCAAGTTTCCTCTAGCAAAGCACAATATTTGGTGTCACACTTCCCTCTCCACATGCTTCTCTCCGTGCCCGTGAGTCCCCAGCCCAGCCCAGTGCTTGCCAGGTGGCTGCACCCATGGATTCCTCAGTGGAGCCCCTTCCCTAGTCCCCTCCTCAGGGTGGGCTCTCAGGCACCACCGCCATGTGCTGTCAACATCTCAGACCCTGAAACCCATCAAAAGACTTGTTTGTAAGCTGAGAACTGAGAGTTTCAGGCTTTCTTAAAACAGATTATTTTTTATAGAAAGTCTTAATTCATCATTAAGATACAATAACAAACTTTGAGGGAAATTGCCCATAGAAAAATGGCTAAAATCTAATGTGCTAACACAAACAAAATAAATTACTCCCATATGCGTGTCCAAAGGTTTTGCTTGTTCAGTGTGGGAAGTGTTTATACTTGCCAGGCACGTCCACTAGGACTTACTGTAAGTAACATACAATGCATACAAAGTGCATTTGTTAAATAATGGGATATATCAGAGACAGAAGATAAGCTTGGACACAAACTGGAGCCAAAGAACAGACTGCTCAGTGATCACCCATTGTTGAGGACTGCCGTCTTTCTCAGAGTGAAGTTTGTGGCCACACTGTCCTCTGCCTAGATGTTCGAGGTCCTACTTTGTCATTAGAGCTAATTAACTGCTATTAGTAAAGGGGGAAATTATAAGTGCTAATCACTGGCAGGTGGAACATAGGATGGACAAACTTGCTTCTTTGAGATGAATATCCTTTTCTCACCTTTAATGAAGCCAGGCCTTTGGCGATATTTTTCTCTGTATTTCTAATTTGTGTTCTGAATGAAGGGTCACAGCTCCTACCTTTTTCCTTCTCTCTAGATGAGTCGTGAGCAGATCAGAAATGTAAATGAAACCTCACCTATGATTCAGGCCTTAGGAACTCTGTCCTCATTCAGAGTTGTTCTCTTTCAAATTATGCTATCCTGATATCCTTTAGTAGCACCAAAAAGTCCTTTAGTAGCTCCAAAAAGTCACCTTTTTTGCCCTAGCCAGTTTGGCTCAGTGGATAGAGAGTTGGCCTGCAGACTTAAGGTCCCAGGTTTGATTCTGGTCAAGGTCATGTGCCTTGGTCCCCAGCCTTGGTCAGGGATCATGGGGGAGGCAATCAGTTGATTTGTCTCTCTCATATTGACATTTCTCTTTCTCTGTCTCTCCCCCTCCCTTCCATTCTCTCTAAAAGATCAATGGAAAAATATCCTCAGGTGAGGATTAACAATAACAAAAGTCACCTTTTTCTGCTCAGTAAGACAGAAAGCAATAACTGTTCCATTAGACCGTTCTGTAACAAAATCCTCTCTCCTTCTCTAAGGACAAATTTGACCTCAGGTTAATTTTCTAATTCTGTTCCCCTGGAAACCAATAAAGGTGGAGAGTCAGCTGTGTTACTAGACAAGACAACAAAGGATATGGTTAAAATGACCCTGATTGGCAAATTGCATAAATACCAGGTAGGAAGCCAGGACTCCAAGCTTTCCTGAGAGTGGTGATGCTTGTCACTTAGCATGACCCTGGGGGAACCCTGGAAGCTATGCTGTGGAGTAGCTACATGAGATCCTGGGTCCTATGAATCATCTAAGCCAAGACAGATTCCCATCCACCAATGTAGGTCTTATCTCCTCGCACCTGAGCTTTCTCTCGAGGGGCCAGACACTAGCCCCTGGAACTCTTGCAAAGACTCCACTGGAGAGACATGCTGGGTACTGGCCCGCTGGTAAGCTGTGTATCCTGACCTATATCCTTCCATGTGAATCTCAGCCACGTGTGGTGTGGGGCAGTTTGCATGCTCAGTTGAAAAGCCCCTAGTGGACAAGGCACAACCCGCCAGTGTATAATGTATGGATACTGGGTTTTCTGAGAGGTGTTTTCTTACAGATGTGGCATGTATTGCCAAAGAGAAAAAACAAACTGATTCTTCTTTTTAAAATAAGCAAAGCCGAAACCGGTTTGGCTCAGTGGATAGGGCATCGGTCTGCGGACTGGAGGGTCCCAGGTTCAATTCCGGTCAAGGGCATGTACCTTGGTTGCGGGCACATCCCCAGTAGGAGGTGTGCAAGAGGCAGCTGATCGATAATTCTCTCTCATCGATGTTTCTAACTCTCTGTCTCTCTCTCTCTTCCTCTCTGTAAAAAATCAATAAAGTATATTTTTTTAAAAATAATGAATAGCAATCACAGCAGAAGAGGGTGGTAGAGGCACAGGGGGTGGTAGGGAGTGGACTGAGGGGGTATCTTAAAATGTTGGCTATGCCACTTTTCCTCGCAGGAAAGTCTCCCTGGGATAATGGCTTTGGGTAAAAGCAGAGGTTCTGCCACCTATTATTCCCAGAAAAGTGCATTTGGTTTTTAAAATAGTACCTCCAAATGTGATACTTCAAGAAAATGAAAACTGCCAACCCCATTTCTGTGACATATTCCTTGAATTTCAGTACTTCTGTTTCCTGCAAATTATTTAAGTAAAATGGTCTATTTTTCATTTTGAGAATATAACTGAAAAAATGAAAATCATGTCCTTTCACCAGTGGAATCAGACCAGGAAAGCCTGTCTTTTGATGTTTTTGAGCCTCCAATCTTCAACCCCCTGGTGGGTTAAGTCCAGATTCCTCTGTGTTAGCATCCCTCCCAAGGTGATGGCGCAGGGGCAGAGTGCAGGCAGCAATTCCAGTGAAGAGATCTCGAGTTTGATCTCAAAGCAGAGATCTGGAGTTTGATCTCAAAGCACTGCCATGTTATTGAGGACAAGTGTACCCTGAGACCCAGCCTGGGAACATTTGTAAATGCCAACAACAAAAACAACAGTGGGTACCTGGAAACTTGTTCACTTGACCGGAGAATATGTTGTTGTCGTGAAATGAAACACCATGCCAGTAGATATCACAGGGCGAGCGGCGGCCAAAAGGGATCTAGGAGAAAGAGAAAAAGATGTGACTGATCATCACCAGAACCAGAGGAGCAGTGACCACACTGATGTCTAGTGTATACAAACTCCCGGCACCCTCGCACACATCACATGATTCAGTCCTCATAATAAACACGTGCCATAGCTGATATTCTTTCCCATTTTACAGGGGAGGAGACAGACTTGGGCAGGTTAAGTAACTTGCTCAGGGTCACAACCAGGAGGGTGGAGTACTGATTCCATGTGGCAGGCACTACACTCATGACTTTACAGGTACCTTTTCATTTTAATCCTCATAACTACCTACCAAGGATTATTCCCATTTTACCGATGGGAAAATTGGGGCTGAGAATGGTATTCTAATATGCTCAAGGACACACATAGCAGGTAGGGAAGAATCAAGATCTAAAGCCAGGCCTATTTGGATTCCAAGCCATTCTTCTTTTTCTCTGAAAACTACAACGCTTAACCCAATCCCCAAAGAAGAATGAGTTTTCACAGTTTCTTTCTTTCTTCCTTCCTTCCTTCCTTCCTTCCTTCCTTCCTTCCTTCCTTCCTTCCTTCCTTCCTTCCTCCCCCCCTCTCTCTCTCTCTCTCTCTCTCTCCCTCTCTCTCTCTCTCTCACACACACACACACACACACACACACACACACACAGTCCATAGGGCAAGATGCATCCCCAGTGCCTAAAACAGTTCCTGGCATCCAGTAAGAGTTTTAAATAAATAAATGAACAAACCAGGAGTGGTCATCTGACTCAAGATGAGATAATCAGATGCTCCCAGGAATTTGGAAATCAGAGATGCTGGCAGCCTCAACTGACCCTTGAACTGGAAGTGATAAAAAAAATTTTTTAAAAAGCCAGAGCCAGGCAGCTGTGCTTCACTGTGTGCACAGAGAAGCAAAGACAGCCAATCTGCTGAGAGAGAAAAGAAGCAGGTGCAGAAATAAAGCGGAGGTGAGACGCTGTGGCCCTGGAGACACATACTAAGGGCCCCATATCCTAAGCTTCCAGATCCTGGACTCAGAACCTCCTGAGCCTGGCTGTCCTCCTGTCCTTGGGTCCTATAGGACAGTCTTGTAACCTTAAAACACACCTGCTTTTTGCACAAGCTATAGGGTTTCCCTCACTGAGACAAAGGGCCTGCTCTTTCCACCGCAGCCTAGATGACCAAATTTGATCTAATTCTGAATTTACAGAATTGTTATAAAAGTTACCAAATTCTGCATTTACAGAATGTATTTTTAAATCTGTAACTCTGCCGGGACCGGTTTGGCTCAGTGGATAGAGCGTCGGCCTGCGGATTGAAAGGTCCCGGGTTCGATTCCGGTCAAGGACATGTACCTTGGTTGTGGGCACATCCCCAGTAGGGGGTGTGCAAGAGGCAGCTGATTGATGATTCTCTCTCATCGATGTTTCTAACTCTCTATCCTTCTCTCTTCCTCTCTGTGAAAAATCAATAAAATATATATATTTTTAAAAATCTGTAACTCAGATGACCCTTGTAAAAGGAAAAAGTGAGTCCAGATTTAGAACCTGCTTGTTTAAAGTCCAGATGAAGAGAAATACCAACACATTTAATAAGATCATTTGATTTTCCCACTCTAAGACTACAGTTAATCAGAATTTTTATCTGCTCCAATTTGAGAGGGCCACACTCCAATGGAAGAACACAGCATTGCTAATGACATGGTGGTGACTCGAAGCTTTCTAACTATTCCCAATTAGAATGAAGACAAACAGACTCACACACTTTAAATCATTCACATTATTTCTAAACTGTGCCAAAGTGAGGCATATGCTGTACTCCATTAGCATTAACAAGTCCATCTATAATGTATAGCATTTCACTCATTTTCTTTGCTTCCAATGGACTGAACTTATTAATTCAGTAGTCATAAATACAAAGAGATACAACAAACATTGTTATTTTCTTCCAGCTGTTAAGTGCTAATATGAAGAAAGGGAATTAACTTAATCAAGGAGGTAGCTCTTTCAAAAGCAGACTCTCCCAGCAAAGTTTCTACGATGCAAAATGGTTTTGCTGCTCGAAATGTGGGACCAACACCTGCTCTCTGTCAGCGGACAACTGTTGACTCCTTAGCACGCGTATGGTCACACCTCAATCCTTGCTACCTTCTCCCCTATCAAACCTTCATTCAGAAGTGCTTCTAACTCATTTTGTTTTGAGAAACTACCTATTTTTAAAAATCCATTCATTCATTATTACCATGCAAGCACTGTGCTAGATACTGAGAACACAGAGAAGCACAATTTTAAATAGGTCAAAGACTTCATAATCCCATCTCTTTTAAAGATCTTTTTCACCCTCGCCAGTTTGGCTCAGTGGACAGAGCATCGGCCTGCAGATTGAAGGGTCCTGGGTTCGGCTGCCCTTCAATGGGTGAATATATAAATAAACTGTGGTATATCCAGACAATGAAATATTATTCTAAAGTATGGTGACAACCATACTTGGGTAAAAATTGTTATTTAATATTTTAAGCTTGCTGTTTTGGGTTATGTACTCATTTAAAAGTTATTTTGATTTTCTAAACTTATGTATGCTATCCCAATACTCTATTGATGATGGTTTGAATATCCCATTGATTGTGATCTCACTGGTCATTGAAGCACATTCCTGGGACCCAGGACAGTTCAAGTATCCTGAATTGCCTTAGTAGCTACAGGTAGTGCATTCCTGTTGATTCAGTGATCCCAGAATCTGGACAGCACAGTTATTTTAAATTGTCCAGATAGTCCATTCCAGATAATGTGTTTCTGTTGAGTCAGTGATTCTTAGATACTTTAGATATCTACTTGCTCAGTTTCACTTCCGTAAAATCGTGAAACAGGTTCCTCATTCCAGACCCAAAGATGTAATCGATACTTTTGTGATATTCTGCCAATATAAGCCAGAGGTGGCAAGCTGTTCGGAGCTGCAAGGTCTGGAGAGCTTTTGCACCCTCGTATGCTGCCAGCCTTTAATAAATGACTCCATAATTCGACTTTTTTGAGGTGTCCTTTGTAAGATGGGGATTATTCTACAACAATTCAGCACTAAAAAGAAATGAGCTCTCAAGTCACAAAAAGACATGGTGGAAGGTATTAAGTATATATTTTTAAGTGAAAGAAGCCCATCTAAAAAGGCTACATACTGTATGATTCCAACTATATGATATTCTGGAAAAGACAAAACTCATTATACACTTGTTCAAACCCATAAATGTACCCTACCAAGGGTACATAATATAAACTATGGACTTTGGGTGATAATGATGTATCAATGTATCAGTTGTAATAAATGTACTATTCTGGTGTGGGATTTTGATAGTGGAAGAGGCTGTGCATATGTGGGGACAGTGAATATAAAGGAAATCTCTGTTCCTTCTACTCAATTTTGCTGTGAACCTATTATAGCCCTAAATAAAAATAATGAAAATAAAGTTTAAAAAAATATCATCGTACTAGCACAAAGACAGATATGTAGATCAATTGAATAGGATAGAGAACCCAGAAATAAACCCTTGCATTTATGGTCAAATGGTTTTTGACAAGGATGACAAAACTATTCAATGGGGATGGGAAAATTGGATGTTCACAAGCAAAAAGAATAATGTTAGATCCTTACCTTACACAATACACAAAAATTAACTCAAAATGAGCCAAAGACCTAATCTTAAGAGCTAACACTAAAGAAAATATCGGAAAAGTATGGGGGATAAAATTTATGGCATTGGATGTGGGAATGATTTCTTGAATATGACACCAAAGCACAGGGAATAAATAAATAAAAAAACAAACAAACAGAACTTCATCAAAATTAAAACTTTTTGCATGAAAGGACACTGTCAACAGAATGAAAGGGCAACCCATTGAATGGGAGAAAGTACTTTAAAATTATATCTCTGACAAAAAATTAATATTCAGAATTTATTTTATACTGCCTACAATTCAACAACAAAAAGCAACCAAATTAAAAGAATAAGCAAAGGATTTGAATAGATATTTCTTCAAAATGGTTAGCATGCACATGAAAAGACGCTCAACAATGCTAATCACTAGGAAAATGAAAATTGAAATCACAATGAGACACCACTTCACACCTATTAGAAGGGCTGTTATAAAAATAATAATAAAAATAAGTGTTGATAAGGATGTAGAGAAATTGAAACTCTTGGGCATTGGGAATGCAAAAAAAACTTCTGTGGGGAACAAAATTCCCACATAATCCAGCAATTCCACTTCTGGATATATACCCAAAGAATTCAGGGGCTTCAATAAATATTGATACACAAATGTTCATGGCAGCATTATTTACAACAAGCAAAAAGTGGAAACAATCCAAGTGTCCATCAACTGTCCATCAATGAATAAACAAAATGTGGTATACATATACTATTACTAAGCCTTAAGAAGGAATGAAATTTTGACACCTGCTATAATACAGATGACCCCTGAGGACATTATGCTAAGTGAAACAAAACAGACACAAAAGGACAAATATTGTATATCTCACATATATGAGATAGCTAGCATAGTCAGATTCCTAGAGAAAGTATAATAAGTGGTGGTTTCTAGTGGTGGGGGAGGGAACAACACAGAATTATTTGTTTAATGGGTACAGAGTTTCAGTTTGGGAACATGCAATAAGTTCTGGAGATGGATGGTGGTAACGGTTGAAAAACAATGTGAGTGTATTTAATGCCACTGAATTGTACACCCAACGAGGTTAAGATGGTATGTATATTTTACCATAATAAAGCAACATCAAAAACTGTTTGCTTACACCCTCTGACACTAAGGGGCCATTTGAGGCTCTACTCTGAGCTCTCTGTAGCCTGCAATGGTGCATGGATTTTCATAGCGCAACTGAAAATTGACAAATGCTTCCCGACTCCCCACTCCCCATTTTTCTCAAGGTCACATCATCACATTTACTCCAGGGGATTCAGAGACTCCCTGAAGCCTCTAGCTGTTTAAGAGATACCATGTTAGAATG